CCAAATGCGGAATTATGGTGAAGACCCTTAACGGGATCAGCCCATCAACGGGATCAACCCATAAACGGAATTAATATTAATTAACCGTTGGGTCAAATTAGGAATTAGACCCACGAAAGGAACCCACACTCAGGCCGAGTTGAACACCGGACCTCAAGCCTGAGCGGAATTCTAGTGAGGTTGAACTCTTCCTAGGGCTTACGTGACAGGCTATCATTCGTGCATAGCTATCTGGCAGTGGCAGGAATAACGGAAGAAACGTGGACTTGAGGGAAGCAATCATTGCACAACGTTCGAGACGTTACAAGAGTATTTCAATTAATGATATTTAATGTATCACTTTCTTCCTAGAACACTAGTACCTAAGGTCTATAAATACTTCTTGAACACATCCTATCAAGGGACCGAATTTTGGAATAATAATACTACCTTACGCCGCCTAAATTTCATCTGTTCTCGTAGATATAGCTCTTGTAATTGGATTAAACTTCATTAAACGGTTTTGTTTCAAGTTTAAGAAATAAATGGCGGTTTTGTGATTAATTGTTATAAAAAGGTGAGATGTACTACATTCGTCTCTTTTTAGTTAGCCATCTTTAACTTTTTAAGTCAATGATGGTCAACTTTGATCAATCATTTTATTAATTATATTTTTTCAAACATATACTATCCTCCGTCTCTTTTTAATCGCAACATGTTGAATTTTATACTATTCACATGTTCTACTTTGACTACATTTTATGAAAATTATTTTTTTTAAATTATATTGTTCAATTCATCTCATTACAAATTTTCAAAATCTAATTTTTAACTTTTTTTTACTAATAGGGATTAAGATATAATTACGATCAAAGATGTGTGTTGACAAGTGTGAAATGTTGACCGTTGCAACTAAAAAAGAACGGAGGATAGTATATTTTATACTTTTGTGATAGTAATATTAATGAAGAATACTTTCATATCATTTTCTGGTTATAAATATTTTCATATATAAATATATTGTTGGCCAAAGTGTAGCATCTTTGACTAGAAAAGTCAAAGATGACTAACTAAAAGGTGACTGAGACAGTACATGTTTTCTGATATATATTTGTGGGAATTTGTTCTTCTCCTTTTTAGTATCATTTGATTAAGAACTAAAATGATGTCACTAACAATATTTATCGACTTCTTAATTCAAAGTGTGGTCTATATCTTTATTTCATTTTTCCCCAAATCACTTTAAAAATCACTTTTTTAAAGTTGAAGCAATTGCAAACACTCCCTTAATCACTTTTCCCAAAATCACTTTAAAAAATCACTTTTTTTAAGTTGAAGCAATCGCAAACACTCCCTACATGTTGTCACACACAAATTTAAAGTTAAACCCATACCTAAGTTTGGATTCCCGACATCTTCATTTGGCTCAGGTGGTGACCACTTACATAAGATAGTCCTTAATTCCTTAAAAGTATTACACGAAATACTTCGTTCGCCAAGCCATGAGCTAAAGCTAGAAGTGAGTGTGTATAAAGCTTACACGAAATACAATATTTCATCTTGAAATTGCAATGGGACACAACTTTTAATGGCTAAACTTGGAGCTCATATTAGTTAGGGATGGACCGCTTCTGGTCCGACCGGCCCGTGGCCCGGACCGGCACTGTTTGGAACCGGGCCCTGGACCGGTCTGGTTAGGCCCAAATCGGGTGTTACTAAGGGCGGGCTCGGGTCATGGAAAATATGAACCGGTTCGTGCCTTTTTTGGTTTTTTTTTTTTCAATTTTTTTTTTGTTTTTCCCGGGTTGGGCTGGGTGTTTTGGGGGGTGGGGGGTGGGTCGGAGAAACCGAAAACCGAAATGAAAAAACCCGAACCGTAACCAAAACAACCAAACCGCAAGAAAACCGAAACCGAACTCAAAAAACCGAACCGAACCGTAACCGTTTGGTTTCGGTTTCGGTTTTCACATTTCAAAACCGAACCGAATAAACAGAACTTTTAAAAGCTAGTTATTTTATTTATTAATCATTAAGTATAATATTTTGTTTAGTACTTAATTCTTAATTCTAGAAAATTAATGATCCTAAAAAACTCTAGAAAATTAATGTTTGATACTAGATTTATTATAATTTGCAAGATATTGAAATTTAATATTTATGGTTTAATTAAGTGAAACACTTGTACATACACTTAAGTCTATTTCTATAATACTATTATGTTGATATTTTAAATCATAATTTACATTTTTCTTGTTGCATGACAATGATATTTTGCTAATGTATTATAGGCTAAAGGGTCAAATAGGCCCTTGTACCTGTTTGGAATGCTCAATTCGCACCCTAAACCAAAAAAAGCTTCAACTCACCCCCTGAACTCAACAAAAAAGTTCAAATCCCACTTTTTGCATGTGAATTTCCGGTCATCACCACGTCAGCCGGTTAGATGCCAACCGTGCATCCTACGTGGAAATCTAAGGGGTCAAATAGACCCCTGAACCCGACAAAGTTGTTCAATTTACCCCCTCAATTGTTAAAAAGTGTCCAAATTGCAATTAAAAAATAAAAATTTAAAAATAGAAAATAAAAATATAAATAATATACAAGTTCATAATATAAATATATATTAGTCTATGTATAATATGAAAATAATTTTTTTATATTTTAGGGTAAATTAATATATATAAAAATTATAGGAAAAATAATACGCAAAATATAAAATTTAATATTGATTTTTAAAAAAAGTATGGTTGATTTTTTTAAATGGATTTAAAATATCAAAATACTTTTAATGATTTTGTTTTGTTTTATGTGAATTTACCGCAAAAAAGAGGATATATTTATAGTAAATTCATATAAAATAAACTAAAAGAAATTCATTAAAACTATTTTCATATTTTTAATACTCCGTATGTTTTATATTTATATATAAAATTACACATACACACACATGCATATATGTATATATACTCATATTATTTTATTCTAGAATTATATACTACGTACTATACTTCAAATTAATTATATGAAACATAAAAATTTTATACTATATAAAAATTATAATATGTATTTATATTATATACATTTTATATATATACATGCTACGGACTACTACATTTTTATATTATGTATTTAAAAATAAGTACCTTCATTATGTTTATATATATATATTTAATTTACCCTAAAATATAAAAATCGTCTTATTATATTATAAATAGACATCTATATTTTATATTATGAACTTATATATCCTTTTATATTTTTATTTTCTATTTTTTAATTTCATATTTTTTTAATAGCAATTTGGACACTTTTTAACGGTTGAGGGGGTAAATTGAACAACTTTGTCGGGTTCAGGGGTCTATTTGACCCCTTAGATTTCCACGTGGGATTCACGGTTGGCATCTAACCAGCTGACGTGGCGATGACCGGAATTTTGCCAGCTAAAAATGGTATTTGAACTTTTTTGGCGAGTTTAGGGGGTGAATTGGAGTTTTTTTTAGTTCAGGGTGTGAATTGAGCATTTCAAACAGGTACAAGGGCCTATATTATATGTTATGTATATACTATGTATATATGTTTGATATCACATAGTTTTTTATATTGAACAAATATGTATTAATATAAACTATACTTTAAACAACATAGTAGAAAACGTGAAACTTTAAAGCATAAATATATTTTTCTAAAAAGAAAGTAGAATAAGGTATTTACTAATAAAATTATAACTTGCGAATACCCTTTATATAATTCACAAATAAACTCACACATTTGTTTTTCTCTCTCTCTTTTTTAATTATGTATGTTTTTGTGTTGTTTTACTATTAATACTTGTTTGATATAGTTTTTTTGTGTTTTCCAATTACTATTTTTCTAATCAACAAAAATATTTATGAAAAAACCGAAACCGAACCGAAACAAATCGAACCGAACAAACCGTGGTTCCAAAATTTTTAACATAAAACCGAATCGAACCGAACCGAAATTTTTACTTTGTTTCTACATTTGGTTTTAGGTGAAAACCGAAACGTTTGAACCGAACCCACCCTTAGGTGGGGGGTTAATTACAAAAGCAAAACAAAAAAAATGAACCGGCCCGGACCCGGTGGAATCCCGGGCCGGTTCCATGCCTTACCCCCCAGAAAAAAAGCCCGGTTTGGACCGGCCCGAAACCGGTCCATCCCTAATATTAGTGAGTATCAAATGATGCAGTGGGGAAAATGGCGGTGAAAAGTGTCCTACTCGTACTTACGTTAACAACGTTGGGTTGTTAAAGTGACCGCATATAAAAGTTAGGGCCAAATGGCCAATCAGGGATGGACCCGGGCCGGGCCGGTTCCGGTTCGGGCCTGGGCCCGGTCGGGCTTTTGATTGGGAAGTAGGGAACCGGAACCGGCCCGGGTAGCCGGCGGTTCCGGGCCAGGCCGGGTCGGGCCGGGCCGGTTTCCGGCTCAAGTTATTTTTTTTCTTTTCTTCTAAATTACCCCCGAACCCCCCCACCCCCCACCCTTCACCCCCCACCCCCAAACCCCCCCAAAACACCCAGCCCTACCCGGTAGAAACCAAAAAACATTAAAAAGAAAAACAAATTTGGCCCGAGCCGGGCCCGAACCGGCCGGGCCGGTTCACCATTTTCAAGGCCCGAGCCCGCACCGGGAATAGACCGGTTCCGGTTGGCCCGAACCGTCCCCAAGACCGGGTACCGGGCCGGGCCCAAATAGTACCAGGCCGGGCCGGTTCCAAGCCAGGCAGCCCGACCCGAGTCCACCCCTATGGCCAATAGGTGGCATTTTCATCCATCGCTTTATTTTTACATGAACATGTGTATACAAAGAGGTTTTGACAGTAAGAAGCATCTATTTCATTGAATGATATTATACTTTTAAATTGTAGCACTTTATTTAATGTTTTCCATTAGTTGGATATATTTAAACTTTTCTTGATACATTTAATTTGTATCAAGTTTTTTTGTAAGTTTTTGTATAATTGCATTCAAGCTATTATGTAGATAATCCATTGCCATCCTAATTCACATGTGAAATATAGTGTCATGTATAAAAATTCGCTATACGTGTTATGACTAAAGTTATTACAATAATCACTCCACTTGAGAGATTACATTTTTAAAGCAACAATAACTTTAATCGTAAATATGTACTTATTTCTATAATACAATCCTTTGACATTAATAAAAAGCGAACTAATGCTGATTTACCTGATTATAAACTTGCTAAAAATGTGAGAGCACAAACGAGCAAAACATGTTTAAATTCTGTGAGCATTGTTTAATGTTATCTCTTCCATCTGTGTATGCCGCATCAATGGCATGATCATCATGCACAAGGAATAGAAAAAATAACCAAACAAGAAAGCGGTGGCGGCTTGTTATCAAACATTTTGGATTTTGACTAAATAAACAACGAGTGAAACACCATGTCCTCGGGCCCTTCTCCACTTGATGAGGCAATACCCAAAAACAGATGTTTGCCTTCTCATCTTTTTAAACGCGAATTATTATTGCTGAGTGAACACGCACTATGGTTCTCACTTATATTGTTGAGAAACCCGGTACACCAGCTTATCCATGAGCTGGCATTTTTTGTGGAATCCCCAACCTGGATTGCTCTGTATTGTACCATAGGTAATAAATACATCACTTTTACTTGCATGTATATTTATACTAATAATATATGAGACCAAAAAACTATATTTATGTATTCAAAAATTAAAAGTATTAGCCACATTGATTTTCCTTCACATTCCCACGGTCAAACCAACAGTGCCGCAAAAATTAGAGAAATCGCCAAAAGATGCCACCTTCAGCATTGTGTTTGATACGTCACCTATGATTGACTCATGGTTTTAATTTTAAAAGGCGCTTAAGATGCGGGTTTTGAGGCGCGCCCCTCAAGGTGAGGCGTACATATTAGGTATCACTGCTTAGGTTTTTTCGCAGGTTAAGAGGTTCATGCCTCAAAAGTTGAGGCGTACGCGTTGAGGCGCGCCCTGAGGCGATTTTCCTTTGTTTCTATGTTTTTAATGTGCAGTAACATAAAAAAGGCCCAAGGTATTTCATTTAATAAAAAACTCAGAGTACTTTTTAAATAGAAGTCCATTAATTAAACATGTGGCCACACTAAACACTAACAAGTCTTATTTCATTTAAACCCTAACAAGTCTTTTATTCATTTAAACCCTAAGTCCCTAACGTATACGTTCTATTCATCTTTCAGTTTAGATGTGATGTTTTTGTGTGTGATATGTCTGTTTGTGTGTGATACGACTGTTTGGGTGTGATGTTTCTATTGTGTGTTTGAATTCTAATGACTTACTGGTAATAGCTCATATGTGTTTGTGTTTCACACTTTTTGGACTTATAATTATGGATATATCCTTTATAACTATAGGATGGAACTATCTTTAGTTGTTTGTTACTAGTTTAAATATTTTAACTTTTATATGTCTATATATATTGAGGCTTACGCCTCAATACGCCTCAAGGCTTATGCCTTGCCTAGTCGCCTCTTAGGAACAAAGACTCTTAGGAACAAACTGCCTTGATACCCAAACCCGCCTTCTTAGAAATTAAACCTTGGATGGACCGATGCATAGTGCATACTCTAAAATTAAAAGAAAGAAAAAATGCTTATATAGAAAAGCAACCTGAAGTGACTGAACAGCACGGTCTGTGAACATCTTCACTGAATTGGGTGCGCATTGTGGAAGAGTAGATGCAACTCTTTTCAGTTCCTCGTGCTGCCGCTTTGCTGTTACTCTGTCAGGGCCACTGTAGTGGTCAACTATCTCTTTTATAAGCGGGAGCCTGACCTCCATTGTTTCTTTCATGACTTCCTGAGTGAATGTCAATAAAAACAACATTGACACCACACCAATAGTATAAACAATGGCATCTACAGCAACAATATGTGACATATCATATATTTCGTAGGAAAATCAGTTATACAACTGATTAAGAATTACAACAATGATGGATACAATTACAGCTTCAAATGTTCGCTGTTGTTTTGTGACATATAGAATTAATTACATCTTTGCACTTTTGTATTGGGTGTAGAGAAGGTTAACTAGTGGAAGCAAAAGGTCCTATATCGCCTGAGGCACAAGACACAAAAAAACTTTAGAATGACTCGTAAGGGGTGTGCACATTTGAAAGCATCGTCTATATTGTTCTCAAATCATCAAAAACGTGTAACTAAATATAAAACCAGACCCCCATATGCACCAATAATGTCACAAACATACTACCTCTTTCCCTCATTTAACTCCTCTGCTAAGTTGACGCAACTTTTGAGAAGGTGGAAACTGTGTTCTTCATAATTTGTTTTAGGGGGAAGAAATTATATCAACGAAGGAATGCTTTCTTAAAAATGAAAGTGAAGATAGTTTTGAGGCTGACCGACCGATGGAGTAACATATTAGCCATTGCCATGTCAGGCCAATACAGGAATTAAGTGAAAAACGGATTACTGAATTAGTATTGAATTACATAACATGGAAGACCAAAAGTGCATTAATTTAATGAACTGATCATTCGAGTTTTATAATCAGCTCATGAGTATTGAATTACATAACATGGAAGACCAAAAGTGCATTAATTCAGTTCATCAAGGCACTATACTTTAGCCTCACTCTAATGACCGCATCTGAGATCGTTCATGATGCAAGGGCTCTTCTGCGCCTCTCCTTTGCGCATAGGCGAGCACCTCTAGCACTGTTGAATACACTTAATGGAATTAAAACTTGTTCTTGAGGAAGGTGGTGAAAAAATGAAAAGGTTAAGAGTAACAAGGTGCATGCAAGGTTTTAAAAAGCTTTACGAAGCCTCAATGCGCTTTACTTTAGAATATTAAGGCATCTTAAAACATAAATATCTTTAAAAATATAAATGACTAATCAATGCATAATAACATATACTACGTATATGCATGATTAAAAAAATAAAAATCATAAAAATAACCAAATGTTTATGCAAAGTTGTCTTAAAACTAAAAGTTGCCTCAAAGAAGTGAAAAGGAACTGCTACTAAGTGATTAGCTTCACTTGTTATACAAGTCCTACCGAGTACACCGCAGTTGTGATAAAAAGAGTAGCAAGCTCCCGGCCAAACAGAGAAGAGAAAAGCATCCAATTAAAGAGAACAACATCTAACTAGGGACCTTAGGATTTTGCATATTGATATATTGACATTGTTTACCTAACTCAAAGACGTTATTGAGTTAGATTCTAGAGAACTTTGGACCATTTACTTTGTAAAAATGCGGCATAAGCCTCGACTACCTCTCAGGGTTTGCACCTCTTCCTCAAACACCATGTAAATCATGTCACCCATGTGTATGGTATAGGACTAATCTTCCTTATAGTTTAGAGCGTCAATTTGTGTACAACCTAATTTAGTGTGTAAACATGGTATGAAAAGATATCAACATGGTATTCCAACTTAACCCTGTTCTTCCCTATGTAAATTTTCCTTTCAGAGCAAATCTTCATCCGCGCCCTTCTCAGAGCACCTGTTCTCAGTTTTTATATGTTTTATTATGTTCATTCTTCTCAGTGTGTATATAGTTTTCTAATCTATGGTTTTAAATCTTTTTCTACGCTTTTCTTATTTTTTTGTTACAGGCTTACAGCCTTTATAGCATTCTTTACTCAGTTTCATGTTGGCTTCATAATTAGTTCAATATTACAGAGTATTTTTTATATTTACACTTCCCTTGATGATCTACCTGAAAGCAACTCATTCCCTCGTATGTTTTTGCAATATCAATGTACAACATTACTTTAATTACACTTGCATCTCATTACTCTCCCATAACAAGTTTAGGTAATCACTGGCTACTTGCCCTTACCTTTCCTTTTTATTACCTAATCTTTTGCACTCTTCTATTACTCACACTCTTCGTAAAGCGAGATTCCTCTGCAATTAAAAAAATTGATGCATAACACCGAATGCTAAGAAAAGCAAACATAGTTGGATCTTACCTCCCACTTTTCTTGGCTTTCAATTCCTTCGTACACCATAAGGAATGGCTTTATCTTCTCAAGGGCATCTCGCAATGGAATAGGAGGTTTCTCGTCAATATCAGGATTCCTTTCAAAATTTCCCATCATGTACTCTTCTTCACATTCAATCTGCAGGTAAAACGATTTAAATGCCATAAAAACTGCAGAAAGTTGGTCGATTCAGATAAAACTAGATCAGGTCATCAAACAAGGATTGCATTACCTTTAGATTGGTATCAAGAGCATCCAGATAAGCATCCTCAATACGAGATGGAAAAATTCTGGGAGCAATTTCTTCAATACCTTCAGCTAATTGACTCATAATATGAGGACCAACCTCTTGGGCCAGCTTTTCAGCAGCAGCAGCATCACCAATGTTGAAGATATCACCATATTTCTCACCAACATCTTCTTGTACTTTACCCTCTCCCCTTCCTCTCCCTCCTCTGCCTCTTCCCCCTCTCCCCCGTTCACTAAACCCGCTACGTCCCCTCCATTGAAGGGCTCCTCCTCTTCCCCTCCATTCACCATTGCCACCTCTTGCTTGTCCACCATGATCAGTCCCACTACTCGTGTCATCCCTGTTGAATCTTTGGCCAGGAGGTCTGCTGTTTTGAGGGCCACTGGAGGCTGGTCTCTGCCAACCAGTTTGAGGATTTTGCCTCTCCCTTAGATGCCTGTTTTCTTCTTTGGGTTTTTCAGGAACACGAGAAGTTTGAGTGGTCTTTCCACGGCCCGCACCAGATAAAACAGAGATGATGTTAGAAGGAAGGAGACTGGCCACATCACTGGACTCAACAGGCGTTTTGGCTCGGAAATCGGGAGAGTCTTCTTCTTCTTTAACAAAGAAGAAAGGCCTGTTGGAATGTGGCAGTTGAGGCGGCATCTGCTGCAGAGATTGAGGTTGTGGAGCAGAAGTGGGGCCTGGGATGCCTCGGCCGCGTCCAGCAGGGCCATTACTATCATGCTTCCACGGCCGTGCCCAATTCCACTATGCTGCCCTGCGGAGGCTGACTCATCGTCCTTCGCATCACCGGACTCGTTTTGGTTTGGCGTAAATCCAAAAACGGAAGAGCTACCGGAGCCAAATCCACCGCCTCCCCGGCCCCATCCGCCGCCGTCGCCAGATGAAGTTGAGAACGCAGGAGTGATGAAAGATTGCTGGCGCGATATAGAGCAACGAGGAAGCTTTCCCCACCTACGGCTCATATCCAAATCCTCAGAGATCAATCCGTTGCATATAAAACTGAGAGGCCGTTTGGTAACCTCATTTTTCAGCTTATCAGGCTTATCAGCCTCCTTTTTCACCAAACACGTAATTTATCAGCCTCATTTTTACTTATAATCCTTGTGTAATAAGCAGAAAAAGTAAGATTGGAGTTATTTTTCTGGCTGTATTGGCTGAAGTTACTGTAGATGACCATTTTAGCTATTTTTACATATAATTTTTTCTTTACTTTATTAATAAAATATATTTTAAAAATAATTTTTACTTAAATCAGTAGAAACAGCCAAAGCAGCCACTTCAGCCAGAACTTCATAAATTTCAGCAGAATCAGCCAAAACAGCCGATTTTTGTGCTACCAAACGGGCTCTGAATCTTTCGGAATTGTAGTTTCGACTAAGCTATTTTTCGAATAAGTTTGAGATTTTTTCCAAATCCATGTTGAATAATAAATTATTTATCAAATTGACGTTGGGTTAAAATTTTTTAAAGTAATGTTGGGTTACGGATGTTTTCTTTTGGACTAAAATTTGTCTTTAAATGTTTAGTCTCTGTGTATTTTATAACTACGGAAGTCTGGTCTGGTCTAATTTGATTTGGTCTGGTCTGGTCAGTCCAAAAAACATCCTAACTCAGATCAACTCTCATTCTCTTTGGCCACTTACATATACGCCGTAGAAATCCATTGTGAAAGGGGTACTTGGGACCCAACAAAATAGAACATCCCATTTTTAAAAAATATGATGTAACTTTTTTATTTGTACTTTGATTGTTATAAAAGTATATCAAAATTTATAACTTTTTATTAGTTTTTATATGACACCAATATTGTATAGGAAAATTTTAAAAAAAAATGATATTAAAAAAATGTTTTTTAAGGTCTTACAATTCTTTTATTTGTACTCCGATTATTCTAAAAAAAATATTGTCTTTCATATGACACTAATATTTCATAGGTAAGAATAAAAAATAATTATATAAAATTTTGAAAATATATCCACCCCAAAAGAAGTTGTAGAACCAGTATAGTGCCGCAACATTTCTCTGGTGTTATACCATTTTATTTGTAGTCTTATTGTCAGAAATAATATATAAAAATTCATTAGTTTTTATTATGTTACATATAAAACCAATATTGCAAAATAAAACTTTTGTCATGCATTATTGACCGGGTAACGGGTACAGGGCGAGGAATACATGTCCGCCCCTTACCCGCCTCGTTTTTTAGTTATATTTTATTACATTTTTAGTCCCACAACTACTAAAATATGAGATTTTTCTCTTTTCATTGTATATATATGGCAAATTGCCCTAAATAGTACTACCCCCCGTCCCACTAAGATTGTCATATTTTATCATTTTGGTCCATCTCACTAAGATTGTCTCATACCTTATTTGGTAAAATTTGTATGACTCTAAATCATTCTTACTTTATCAATTCAATATCAACCACATAAACCACTTTTTATAGGTTTGCGTGTCACTCTCTCTTGTCCCATTGTTAGTGGGACGGAGGAGTACGTAGTAAACAACTTTGGGAATTCCAAAATAGGACTATTATGTTTTTCTTCCCAAAATAGGAGTCATTAGATCAGGATATTTTTTACTTCGGACGGAGGCGAAACTGACGGCAGCGCCAGACGTAACGACTTTGGGTGATTAGATTTGGATATTTTTATAGATTCCGGCAGCCGACGGCAACTCTGGCAGGGTATCCTTACCCAAGCTTCAAACATACTCCTATTTTTGTACTTCCTCCATGTTTTACTCTTATTTGGGAAATGAACTCTATGCATCATCATATTTTTATAAGTAAGTCAATTCACTAATTCCATTAATTACGGGTAAATAGTCTGGGTGGGAAAAAATTAGAAGAAAAATTAAATATAAACAAAATAAAACAATCAGAGGCAAGGTGAGAAAGAAAGAAAATGTCGTATACTCTTTACACGAAAAGGAATAGATAGAACAGAAAATTACCCAATTAAAAAGGAGAAACAAATAAGAATAAAATTATAATTATAATAAACTAGAATAACATTTTTAAAAATATCACTTTTAAGATTAGTGTAATGTTTAGACATGTTATTACTTAATACTACCTCCGTTCCTTCAAACTTTGCCAAGTTTGACTGACACAGAGATTAATAAAGTAAAAACTGTGTGGTTGAGGTTTGTGCAAAGAAGAGACAATTAACTGGAACCATAAATTCTTTACTTAAAAAGGAAAGTGGCAGAGATGATGGGACATCCAAAAAAGAAAAGCTGACAAAGTTTTAAGGGGCGGGGGGAGTAATGTTCAATCGTGCACTAACCGTGTGGGCTTTAATGAGATTTATTTCTTATGCGAGCTTATAACATGGACTCACATGCTCTCTAAGGATCATGTAACATGCCCCATAAGATTTCTGGTTGTCAGTGTACACATTTTCTGCCATAAAACTTGGTAGAACCCAAAGCCATCATCCAAAACTTTGGAAACAATGGAATTTTTAAGAAACTCAGAAACAAGAAATATGAAACAGAAGTTCACAATTTGTAAATCAATGATAAAATCCAGAATAACATAAGAATCGTATGAAAAAAAAGATAATGAGAAGGAGAAGAAAAAGATGCGTGGAATCGATGTAGAATCGACGATGGTAGAAATAGAGGCGGTACTGCCGCGACGATGACGGATTTGAGTGTCGGCGAAGGTGGTCCAATAGTGAAAATGTGGCTTAGGAGCAGTGACGGCAGCATCCATAGAGGCAAATGTGTGTCGTTGGAGCAGCGGCCTCGAAAGCCCTATGCGGCTATGCGCGTAGATGGAATGATATCTACGCGCTTATGACCAGAGGCTAGAGTCGATCAACAATAAGATGGAATGATATCTAAGATTTTACAGATTAGATATTATTATATACTCCCTCCGTCCCGAAAAGGTTGGCCAAAGTTGACTTTCGCGTGGATGAATAAAGTAAAAACCGTGTGGTTGAAATTTGTACATAGTAGGGATAATTAATTTTAGCCACATATTTAATAGCCTAATATATTTAGGAATCTGACTAATATCTATTTAGGAATACTTTGTATTTTGGCAATTCTTCTATAATAAATATATCTGTCAGAACTCCTATTGGAGTACCCTTTCCCATTATTTCACATGATATCAAGAGCTCTAGGTTTGTAGATACAATTTGTTTTCTCTTTTTCCGGTTCCCATGAACCCTATAACAGTCGCCGCCGCCTCGGGGTCGACTGCCGCCACATCTACGGTAGTCTCCGATCCTTCGAGGATGAGCGCGGCTGATATGGCACACATCACCTTCTCTACGTCGCTGACCACGGTGCTTGCTTCCAGCATACCGATGAGTTCGCCGTCTGCTGCTGCCTACGCCCGCGCAGCCCACCTTTTCGCGTCGCTGACCACGTGCTTGCTTCCAGCGCACTGTTGAGTTTGCCACCCGCCGCTGCAAACGTCCATTCTCTAGCCGAGTCTGGTTCGACCGCTCGCACAACTGTTCCAGAGCGCCACACGTGTCCCACTCTCTCTGGCGACCCTGACATGATCCTATCGTCTTCTGCCGGGCCAGTTGGCCGTCAGTCGGGATCCTCTCCGCTCCCCACTTCATTCGTTGCTCTTGCTCACGGTATCTTCAGGGGACTCCAAATTATGGACAATATTTGCTATTTTTCTTGGTCCTAATCTGGTTTATTGGAAGTCCTAGAAACAACAAACTTGCTCATGGAGATCTTATTGCCAAATATGTGTCTCATAATCTTCCGCTGGCGGATATATTTACCAAGAGTTTTTTTTAGTTTGCAATTTCATTTGTTAAAAGAGAACATGCGTGTTGTATCTCTCGCACAGTTTGAGGGGGTGTAATAGCCTAATATATTTAGGAATTTGCCTAATATCTATTTAGGAATGCTTTGTATTTTGGCAACTCTTCCAATATAAATATATCTGTCAGGACTCCTATTGAAGTACTGTTTCTCATTATTTCACAATATTCTTTACTTAAAATGGAAATTACAAATCTTTTTGGGACATCCCAAAAAAAGAAATTCGGCCAACTGTTTCGCGACGAAGGGAGTACAAAGAAATAATAGAAATCTGTAATCCAATTTAGGGAAACATTTCGAGCCCGTTTTGTTTCGGCTTATTAGCCAACTTTTTCACTAAACGTGTAACTTTTGATTTCGCGCGCTGAATTGTATAATAATAAGAAAATGTAAGATTGGAGTTATTTTCATGACCGTATTGACTGAAGTTACCATAGAAGATCATTTTACTATTTTTCATATAATTTTATCTTTATTTGAATAATAAAAAATATTTTAAATATAATTTTTTAATAAATCAGCAGAATTTGTCAATACAGGCACTTATGCAAGAACTTCATAGATTTAGTCAATTACAGTGTCACTAAACGAGCTCTTAATCCAACAATATATATTTTATTTATATAAATTAACAAAAGAATAAGGGGGAGGATAAAATAGACATTCGAGGAGGCTAAAAACCCTAGCCCGATTGCACAAGCGATTTAAAGGCGCGCAAGGATTTAGCGTTTGAACTTGTGTTTCCAGCCGCGCGGCAATCTCCCAATTGCCTACCACTTCCGTCGACCGCCATATATGGTATCTCTCTGTGCTTAGTATCAATTTATTTTCATGCGCGACTACGAACATCTCATTCCACGTTCGTGTGAAATGAACAGGCATCGGAGAAGAAATTGAGCAACCCAATGAGGGAAATCAAGGTCCAGAAGCTCGTCCTGAACATCTCCGTCGGAGAGAGCGGTGACCGTCTCACCAGAGCTGCGAAGGTACTATGCCTCGACATTTTTGGGTCTTCATTACAGTTGTTTGAGTTATGTGAACAAATTAAACCATTTCTTGTTGTGTATAGGTGCTGGAGCAACTCAGCGGCCAGACCCCAGTTTTCTCAAAGGGTATGTCTTCCCTTTAATGTTTCCAGATGAATGATTCTCCAACCTTTGCACACTTGACACTTTAGTGGCATTTTTTAAGCTCGTTGTCTCAAAGTTTTAGGCATTGTATCTCAACCTTGGGTGTTTGCCTAGCAAATTGATTAGATTACATTATCACAATCACCATTTATCATATCCGTTGTGCTGGGCGTGCTTATATGTATTTTGTCTTCCTACTTTTTACCATGACAGATACAGAAAGCTTATTTCAACTAGTGTTCTTGGCTGTACAACTTTTTTGTCTTTGTAAACGATATAAGTTAAAGAAAAATTGATAATTCGATGGATACATTTTCTCTTGAAACCTCTTGTAATTTTTATTTAATTTAACGCCAATAGTTCGACAGAAAAGTACATTTTTATACTACTCCATCACACTTCATTCTGACTTTCCCTTCCGTTGTGCCATATATTTTCTGACTTTATGTGCTTGTCTGAACAGCTAGGTATACTGTGAGGTCCTTTGGTATAAGACGTAATGAAAAGATTGCGTGCCATGTCACAGTCAGGGGTGACAAGGCAATGCAACTCCTCGAGAGTGGGTTGAAGGTGAAGGAATATGAGCTGCTACGGAAGAACTTCAGCAATACAGGGTGCTTTGGATTTGGCATTCAGGAGCACATTGATCTTGGAATCAAGTAGGTGTCTCAATTTGTTCTCGCAAATTGCACTTTTGTTCACACCCTTTGTTTGCCATCATGTAAATTCTCATACCCACTTTCAAATTTTAAAAAATTTAGACTCTTAAATGGTTCTACTTCCACCTCTAAAAGATTAATTTTACTTAACTGCAACTTATTCCGGTATGCCTCAACTTTCACAAATCTTGAAATACAAGCTTTGCTTGATCTCAATCAACTATCTAGGGTGGAGGTAGTTTGACTCGGTACAGTTCAGTAAATCTGGTGAAAATTACTGTCGTGGTTCATGTTCTGTGTTTGGACTTGTGCTCAACTTGATGCATTCTTGGCATTATGTACTGCCTAGCAATCAGTGTTCTAAAAGGCGCCAAAAGGCTCCGCAAAAGCGGCCCTAAGCGTGAGGCACCAATACAACGCCTTGCCTACCTATTAGGCGAGAGTAAAGGCTCACAAAATTATTTCAGCCTTCGATTGTTGACCCGCGTATGCGTTTTCATGCTTTGAAGGCGTTGTCGGGTAGAAGGAAGGTGGAGTTGTTTTATAGAGCATGAGGGATGAGGATTACTCCCCCCCCCCCCCCCCCCCCCCCCCGTCGTGGGATAGAAGAATGGGAAAGCAGAAAATAAAATACATAGTACTTTGTATAGACACTCAAAATCAAAATAAATGCATAAGTTTGAACTCGGGATTCGAACCAACGTGACTTCGAAAATAATCACCCATGTTACCAACTCATCTGCTTCGTCTCTTTCTAACTTTTCTACACTATATGTTCTTATAACTTAAACCACGTATTAAATACACTATAGTGCTAAACAACTACATCACACGAAATACTATTTACTATTATTATTATTAGTAGTAGTATTAATATGATTATTACTACCAATACTATTGTTGTTGGAATCCTTTTTTATTATTATTCTATTTCATTTTTATCATTATTAACATCCTTACCATTATCATTTTACTAGATGTTTTTTTTTAAATATTACTCCGTACTATAGTAAATTTTGTGGACTTAAAATATGACTAGAGTTATTATAAGTATAATATATGGTCACTACAGCGTAAAGTTTGAATGTAACTATAGTCACTAAGAATTATTAAGTAACATTTTTGTTCATTATTTTTATTTTGGTAATATATGAAGTATTAGTTATTATTTATTTTTATTAATATTTTATTATTAAATTACTTTTTCCAGTTCTAGTTTTTCTGTAGGTGATTAAAATATACTCCCTATTTGTTGGATTTAGGACTCAAAAAATCGTTTTTGTTGAAAATGAGAAAAATGTGATGTTTTTAAAAACATTATTTATTATTATATTTAAATATTTTGAAAATAGTTATAGAAAAATTAAACTTAAGGATAAAAAATCAAAACGCCTTTTAATGCCTTTGTCCCGCCTAAGCTTCGAAGGCTTAAGGTTCGGCCGTGGGGCCTCAGCACGCCTTACGCCTTTTAGATCATTGCTAGCAATGCTCCCATAAGTTACTAATATGAACCTTAACTATTGCAAATTGAATTACTAAATTCCAAAAGCTGAAAGTTGTATACCCAATTGAACGACAAACAATTGTGGGGCGAGCTATAAATGGTTGTGCGAGATGTTAGTCTTTTGTTCTGCCAAACCATCATGCAGGTATGACCCTTCAACTGGTATTTATGGTATGGATTTCTTTGTTGTTTTGGAACGGCCCGGCTTCCGTGTAGCACGTCGACGTAGGTGCAAGGCCCGTGTGGGAATCCAACATCGGGTCACTAAAGATGATGCAATGAAGTGGTTCCAGGTCAAATATGAAGGTGTTATACTCAACAAGTCCTCCAATGTTCAATCTTAGTTGTTTGATTTGGCCTTTTGATTTAAATATTTGTTTGAACTTGTAATGCCTCGACTTAAATAGTTTTGATTAAGGATATGTTGCTTCTCTTATTGTTTATTTTCACCTCTAATGGTTTTATATTGATAACTTTTTAAAGTTTACTTTTTTCGTTGAAGTAGGTAGTAGTTTACTTAAGCGTCCACTAACTTGATGATTTTAGTTAAATATACCTTATAGGCTCATACTCGATAAGTTGAAGAATGAGGAGGATGCATTGCTTTTGAATCACTATAAGATGTTTTTATTTGGATTGAAATTTTCTGGTCTGAACTGGTGGTCTTGTAAATGTTTGGTCTTTGTTAGTCCTGGACTCGGGCCGGGCGGCCCGACCCGGAACCGGCCCGGCCCGGCCACTGTAGCAACCGGCCCGGCCCGGTGGCCCGGTCCACCGGCGGTTCGGGTCGAACCGGCCCGGTGGTTCCCGGTTCCGGGCCCGGGCCTTCCAAATGGTGAACCGGCCCGGCCGGTTCGGGCCCGGTCCGGGCCGGATTTTAATTTTTTTTTTTTTTTTTTGAAATTTTTTTAAAGTTTTGGGTTGGAATAGGTATTTTGGGCCATTTGAGGTGGTTTGGGGTGGTTTGGGGTTGAGGGGGAGGGGTAGGGGATTAAATAGGAGAACAAAAAAAAAAAAAATTAAGTGGGCCGGTTCGGCCCGGCCCGGCCCGGTTTGGCCCGGAACCGGGACCGGAACCGGCCACCGGCGGTTCGGGCCCGGGCCTCCCATTTCCTGGCCCGAGGCCCGGCCGGGCCCAGGCCCGAACCGGGCCCAGGCCCGAACCGGGCCCGAACCGGCCCGAGTCCAGGACTAGTCTTTGTGTATTTTATTACTATTCAAGCCTGGTTTGGAACAGAAAACAGTCCAAGTAAAGGTGCTACTGCTGTCCGAAATGAAAACCACTGTCAGAAAACTCACTAGAATTTTTGGATGAACTTTTTCTTGTTTTTTTTAATTTCACTGGAAAAATCACTCTAAAATTTTGCGGTGGTCATAGTGACATGTTCATTGGAAAATGGTGACAGTAACATGTGTTGTAGTTAGGCATGGACTTGATCTTGTACTGTTAATCTGTTATAGATCAGTTTTTAGGGTTCTGGATGGGATTGGATTGGGCCATTTTCCGGGTATTTGCTCCCAAGTATCTAATTTTGGGACAGTATGGATGGACTCGGTTCGGGCCGGGCCTGGTCCGGGCCTAGGCCCGGTCGGGCCTCCGGTCCTGGATTGGAGGGCCCGCAACCGGCCCGTGTAACCCCCGGGTCCGGGCCGGGCCTTGGGTAATTTTTTTTTGCCTTTTCCTAATTAACCCCCCACCCCCCTCACACCCAAACCACCCCAAGGCCCAAACCACCTCAAATGGCCCAAAATACCCAGCCCAATCCAAAAACTTTAAAAAAAATTCAAAAAAAAAAATTAAAATGGCCCGGACTGGGCCCAAACCGGCCAGGCCGGTTCACGTTTTGAGGGGCCCAAGCCTGGACCGGAACCACCTCGGGTCAGGCCTACCCGGACCGATCCCTGACCGGGCCACCGGGCCGGGCCGGAACAGTGCCGGGCCGGGCCGGTTCCGGGTCGGGCCACCCGGCCCGAGTCCATCCATATTGGGACAAACCGTGGTCCCGGTCCTAGTTTTGGTCCTATCGGTCAAAGTCTTTTTTCTTTTTCTTGTTTTGATTTCGGCTGATTGAGGTTCAAAATTGCCGTTGGAATGGCTATAAAAGGCTACCAGAGACTCAGAGAGGACTAGTGCCGTTTTGGGATGGGGTCCTAATTTTTTTCATTCTATAAATACTCCCTTTTTTTCATTTTCCTACACAAATTTATAACTATTACTCTCAATATCTACTCTTTTATTTTATAACTTTATATTCATAATTATATATATATTTATATCTAATATGAATTTATACATTCATATATTACTTTCTCCGTCTCCGAAACAAGTTCCACCTTTTCTTTTCGGGTAGTATCAAAAATAAGTTTCACTTTCAAGCATTTTCTTATTAAGTAAATTATTTACAACAAAACTAGGGCTGGACTCGGGCCGGGCGGCCCGACCCGGGACCGAACCGGCCCGGTCACTGTTTGGCCCGGCCCGGCCCGTGGCCCGGTGGGTCCACCGGTTCGGTTTGGCCCGGCCCGGGTGCTGGGCGGTCCGGGCTTGGGCCCAGGTTTTGGTGAACCGGCCCGGCCGGTTCGGGCCCGGTCCGGGCCGGATTTTAATTTTTTTTTTTTTGAAATTTTTTAAAGTTTTAGGTTGGATTAGGTATTTTGGGCCATTTGAGGTGGTTTGGGATGGTTTGGGGTTGAGGGGGAGGGGTAGGGGATTAAATAGGAGAACAAAAAAAAAAATTAATTGGGCCGGTTCGGCCCGGCCCGGCCCGGCCCGGCCCGACCCGGTTTGGCTCGGAACCGGAACCGGCCACCGGCGGTTCGGGCTCGGGCCTCCCCTTTCCTGGCCCGAGGCCCAGCCGGGCCCAGGCCCGAACCGGCCCGAGTCCAGCCCTAATCAAAACAATGCAAAACAGTGTCAAACAGTGTCAAAACAGTAAAATTTACCCCTCAGTAAATTTATTTTCTTAATATTTGTGAATTTAACCCGGAACTTGTTTCCGTGACGGAGGGAGTATTAGATATTATACTTCGAAGTTAGTAAATCGTATAATCCGATGATGATGATGATGAAGGGTAATTTGAGTTTGCACTCCATTTTATTGTGAAAATTGGACTTTGCACCCCGTTCTTAAAAAAAATTTGTTTTTGCACCCCAACTCCATATGAAAAGACAAAAATACTCCTCCATTAGCAATTTTGTTGTCTTCAACATATGCTTGGTTGAGGGCATTTTTGTATTTCATATGGGGTTGAGGTGCAAAAACAAAGATTTTTAAAAACGAGGTGCAAAGTCCAATTATGTCTAAACTTTTTTATATAATCTGAATGATTCTAATCTGATTTGAATATTTCTAATCTATTTTGAATCCTTTTGATCTGATATGTTTTAAATCTTTTGATCTGATCTTAATCTTTCTGACTTGGTCTGGATCTTTTTTATCTGCTATGATATAAGGGTTTTTTTCTTCTTTGTTGGCTCCGAATGCATGAATCGATTTATGTTAGCTCACCCTAAAATCTTTCGAGAATAAGTCTTGGATGTTGTTGTTGTGATGTATGGCTTCATATGACATTTACACAAGGAGTTATGTTAAGAAGTGTATAAATACTACTTGCACAACGTTTTCTTTTCTTTATGGTTAACGGAGAAGTAGATAATACGGAGTATTTAATAGGGGAACAAAGTTAAATTAAGAGTGGATAAGAAGTGGAGTAGAGCGATCGTCTCTCGCTTCTCTCTAGGGCTTCGGCCTCTTGAAGTCTTTTTCCGTCTTCGATTTTAATCGAAGGACGGCTGCTTTTTCCGTCTTCGATTTTAATCGAAGGACGGCCGCTATTTCCGTCTTCGATTTTAATCGAAGGACGACTGTTGTTGTTTGTGCTTCGTCCTCGAAGGGCGGATTTGCTGTCATGGCTCGAGGTGATCGGCGTTGTGGTCAAGGTTCGAGGATGATGCATTGTTGTCGTCGTTGGAGAAGATCGGCGCCGCCTATCCGTTTACTCTGGTTGTATAGGGCAGGGATGAGTTTGGTTATGCAGGGACGGAGGATTGATGCATGGCCTTTAGCAGCCAAAGGTCACGGGAGTATCAATTAGCATGGTACCGGTGGTAAGACCTCCTCCTGAACCACCACCATGGGATGTACGAGGTGCTAGAGTTCGTGAACGCTTTTCTTGTAGTTTTTATCTGTTTGTTACTCCCTCCGTCCCAGAAAATTCTTCCAGTTTTCCTTTTTGGGCCGTCCCAGAAAATTCTTCCAACTTTCCTAAAAAGGAAACCACTTCATACTAAAAACCCCAATTTACCCTCCACTTTTAAAAAAACTCCCTATTGCCTACCCTCTCATTTACCCCATCCGCCTCTCTCTCCCATTTACACCCACTGCCTCCCTCTTTCTCTGTGACTGTCGGTCTCTCTTTCTCTCTCTCTCTCAATTACTCCAACCGTCTCCCTCTCTCATTTACTTCCATCGTCTCCCCCTCTGTATAATTGCCTCCCTCCCTGTCCCCATCGTCTCACAATCGTCTGGATCTAAACCCCAATAGTCTCACAATCCCTGTTTCGGTACTCCATCCCACCTGCATGGCTCAGAACTCCACGGAAGATGATGGCCTCCTGATAATCCCAGATAGTGAAGACGAGCTTGCAGATGATGTTTGTGAGACGCCGACAGAGGTTGCGAGGGAGATTATTGAAGATGTCATTGTCCCTGACAGTGAAGAGGGTCTTCTTCCGGAGGATGGGGTGGCGTGGGATTCTGCAGACCCTGTATCGGAACTCCATCCGAGGTGCATGGCTCAAAATTCCCCGGAAGAGGATGACCTCCTCATAATCCCAGACAGTGAAGACGAGCTTGCAAAGGATGTTATTGAGAAGCCTACAGAGGTTATGGGGGAGACGGTGGACCCAAATCTGCTCAAAAGACGCAGAGACAACGACATGCATCCTATTCGGAGAAGTCCTCGGTTGGAAGAGTTTCTAAAACTAATGATACCGAAATGGGAAACACGCATGTGGGATGTGGACACAGATTAGGGGAGTTTCTTCCATACCCTATCTTTATTTATGGTTTAATTTGTAATCTGTGTCCTATGTGTGACTTTTGGGGGAAGCAATGATGAAAATTGGTTTTATTGATGTTTAATGTGATGCATGTGGCTTGTATATGGTTGTTTGGTATGAGTAATGGTAGTAATGCATACTGTGATTTGCATACACACCTTGTGTGTATTGGTCCTTTATGTATACCTAAATGATCCATACTGTCATTGAAGCATCCCTACTGGTCCTTTATGCATACTGTGATAAAAGTAGACCTTATGTGTACTGGTTCTTTATGCAAACTGTGATGAAAGTAGGAGGTCTGTGTTCTGGTTCATTATGCCTGGTATGCTATGATGAAACCCCTATGAATATGGTAGTGTTTGCATACTGTGACCATGCCCTATGATGTGGTAGTGTTTGCATACTGTGATGACCATGCCCCTATGATGTATAGTGT